AGAATATAAATTCTTTAATAACAGTGGATATTTGATCCTGAAAAACATTGCAAGAGTTTTGAATCTTTTGAACCCACAAAAGGAAAGAATGCATAATTCATTGACAGGCAGACATCTTACTGATGATTGATAAAACACAGGAGGATTATTATTCAGCTGAAGTGGGAATTGGAACAGTGTTGGAAGGATTATTATAAATACGAATTGAAAAGTAACTAACCTTGAAACGTTTAAGCAAACTATGTCCTTTAAGAAGTAAAAGTAGGAACGAATATATAGTACCTGAAAAGTTACTGTTCAGTTGTTAAAGTAATAACAGTGTTAACTTTCTCGCTACTACCTGTAGGTTTCCTGCTCTGTCATTTTGAATCATGTTTACAAGATACAGTAAACTCTGGATAACTCATCATTCCAAGGAAAAGGGCCCAGTGATGATTTATTTGATGTAATGAGTTAGTAATAGGTTCTCACCTTATGCTCCCAGGTCCATTCCCAGGTCCACTCTCACTCAGCCAGCACCCACTCATTGCGGACACCACATCTGAGCATGTCCACCTAATCTCCACCAAGCCCTCACCCCAGTCACAGGATAGGGCGGTAGGCCAACAGACCAGAAGCCTCTGTCATGCATCTGAGCATGTATGTCCAAATTCCGCCAAGCGCCCACAACAGTCACAGGATAGGACAGGAGGCCTTTGCAATGCAAGACGCCATCTTATATGATGACTCATCCGATCAATTTACATTATAAGTACTTTCTACAATGTTAAGTAGAATAATGAGCAAAGCAATGTCCGTTATATTGGAAGCAGACAGGATATTGACGGTAAGCCAGGATCGAGTTATCTAGAATTTACTGTAGTTTGATTCCTGAAGGAAATTTGCTTTCATTTAAAGCAATACCTCAGAGTAGACAATCCCTTGGGTAACTTTTAAGTTTTCTTAATGTTTTATCAAACTATTCCCAAAAGATTAATTTCTTCCCTAAAGGAACCTTGGAAGTGTTTCCTTAAAACCTGAAATTCCTCACAGAGAAACTAAAGGTATTTTCATTGGAAAAGAGAAGTTTGAAGAGGACCCGATAGAGGTTTTTAAAATGGTGATGGGTTGTGACAATATTTTTAAAAATCCCCAAACTGTAAAGGTTCTATATGTGTGTATGTGCAGCCGGGAATGAAGGGAGGAGGCAGCGAGGAGGAGGGGGATAGTGGGAAAGCAGCCGGAGAGAATGACCAGTGGATACTGCTGAAGGAACAGGAGAGGAAAAAGTGTGTGATTTGTCAGGATTTGAGCAAAACTGTGCTGTTGTTGCTCTGCGAATCCTGTGTTTGTGTCGAGGCTGCACCGACATGCTCTTCCGGCAGCCTGTCTTCCAGCGTAACTCTCCCCTCTGCTGTCATATGATTTTACAGACTTCAGATGTGTATTTGTGAAATGCTGACAGACCACCTGCAGCCTTGTACAGCTTCTCATTTCATCATCTGTGGAGTGCTGTAGCTCAGTGGTTAGCATGCTCGCCTCACAAGCGAGAAGACCTAGGTTTGATTCCCAGCAGGGTGAAACGTTGGGCAAGTTTCCTTACTCCACACACCGCTGCTTACCTAGCAGTAAAAGTAGGAACCCAGTTGTCACTTGATTGTCGGATCGCTTTTCCAGAGGTAATAATCCATTCAAAAATAATAATAATTTGGTCGCTCAATCCACAACTATTTGTGGGCACTACTGTGTGAGGTTGGCTGCCGTATTTATCCCACAAAATATAATCAATTCCCTTTACAGTATATTCTGTGAAGTGCTTTGAGACGCCTCAAAGGCATGATAAGGTACTAAATCAAATGCAAGGATTATTTCATTATGTGTATATTCGTAAAAAAAAACACTGTCACATGCAGACAACAATGGATCTATTATATCTGGGAGAAATTTGGAAAACAACCTCCTGATGATCTGCTAAAGGTTTAAGATGTTCCATGATCACTGTCCCAAACCCAACTGCTATTTGTTCTTTGAATTGAATCAGTACTTTGTAAGCGTCCAGGATAAGGCCGAAATCAAAACATTTTGCCCACCATAAGGAGATACCTGAAATTGTTCATCTGAACAAGGAGGTGAGCAGCTTCACTTCATCTGGAGTGGGACACTGCTCTGTGCAAATTAACTGACATATTTGCCTATAAAATAGTCATTACAGTTTACAGTATATTCTGTGAAGCGATTTGAGATGTCTTCCCTATGTGAAAGGTGCTATATCAAATGTAACGATTATTTGCTTTTAATTTTAGGACAATGCCTTATGAAAGAATCCCATTAAGAAACACAAAAATTGGAACACGGCTCTTGACAATGAAAAAACAACTGAAGTCTGTACATAATGTTTTATGTAACGTGAGTAGAAAGATCAGCTCAGAAAGCTCCTGGAGGGACATGACCCTGGTTGTATTCACTTGCTAGAATGAGAGTCCCATGAGTGAAGAAAGTATTGAACAATGGAATATAGTGGTTGTGTGGGTTAGGGAAAACAAAGAAATTTATGCTTCTGGGGTCAATTTATCTCCATGTATAGACTCATTAGCAATGCTCCTAAACACAAGAATTTGAGCCCCTGACTGCATCCCTGTAAGCAACAGACATCTTTTCGCACACAATGTTGTAATTGCTGTACTTAAAAGGTTGTCAACCCCCAGGTTCAGAGGCAGTTTCTTACAGTGAGGGAAGTGTAAGACTTTTTACAATTTGAGGAAAAGAATTGAAAAATTTGCGAGTACTCTGAAATGTTAGAACAGCATCAGTGAAGGGTGAAATGGAGCATACTGAAGAGAAGCTCCCTGAGGGAAATAGCAAATCTGTAACTGGAAATGCCAGCTGGCAATGAAAATAAAGAGAAATGATGAAATGAGAAGGGAGAAAAACAGTTATGTGGGAAGTGCGAGATTAAATTATTTTTAATTTTAAATTATTGCCTTAATTTAATCATTAACAAAAGTAGGAATACAAGTTATCGGCTATTGTTGTGGAGCAGACTTAAGGTGGTTGAAATATATAGTCTCTTATGGGTTTTATTTTACAATGGCATGTTTGCGTGAGGGGTAGGGAGAGGGGGTTCTTTTATTGTTTTAAGGGTAGACTTGGAAAATGGCTAAGGAAATGGCAGTAATAGTTTGGGAAAGAATTGGGGGAAATTTGTTGTGGCTAAATAATTCAGGTGTGAAACAGAAGGTTTCCAGCCTATGATTAGGCTGGAAGAATTTTAGGGGGCTTCAGAAGACACAAAAATGAAAACAGGCTAGGAGAGGAATGAAGGAGGAGGTGAGTTAAGGATTGTAGATTATGGAGGAAATGTCCTATATCACTTGAATTCTCTTTTAAGCATCAGATTTAATTGACCTAAAACAAATGAGAGAAAAGGTGGATAAAACTAAAACAGAAAACAGATTCAACTGGATATTAATAGCTACACAGTGGAGTCCTGTAGCTCAGTTTAGTGGAGTCCTGTAGCTCAGTGGTGAGAGCACTCGCTTTGCAAGCGAGAGACCGGAGTTCAATTCCAGGCAGGGGGAAACCTTGGGCAAGTTTCCTTACTCCACACGCCTAATAATAATCCCTCCAAAAAAAAAAACAATAATAAATTGGTCATTTCCAATCCACGACTGTTTGTGGGACATTGCTGTGCGCAATTGGCTGCCGCGTTCGCCCACAAATATACAGTCAATTCACTCTGCAGTGTGTTCTGTGAAGCGCTTTGGGACATCCTCCCAACGTGAAAAGCACTATAACAAATGCAAGGATTATTATTATTATTATTATTACACATAGGAGCTTGCTTTCCCTGACTGGACATATTTATCTTAATTTTGACTGTTAGTTCCTTTAGACCTTTAGTATCTTCCAAAACAGATCCTGTACTTTTCCATTGTTCTGATTTTATCGAGATCTACAAAAAAATCTTGCATTTGTCATTGAGACATCTCAAAGAGCTTCAGAAAATATATTGTAAAGTGAATTGACTGTGTATTTTCTGGGTGAAACACGGCAGACATTTGAATACAGCAGTGTCCTACAAACAGTTGCGGATTGAGTGGTTTTTTTTGGAGGGATTACGGTTCTGACTGATGAGCCAGCCTTGGTTGTGCTGTCATCAGCAGTGCCATAATGGTGGGTTGGAGGGAGTGAGAAGCAAGCAGGTGAGCAAAATCAGAAGAGCAGCAGCACAGTCAAGAGATTAGGATTTTTTGGTCAGCTGGTGTCTTGACACATATGGAAACCCATCACCATGTCTCCAAACCAAACTACTATTAATTCCATATATACACGGAAATTTCCGTGCCTTTTATGTGTGGACCATCTCTCCCTCGAGAGATGCACCATATTCACAGGAACCTGAGTGTGCATTGGGGTACAGCTGGAGTTTAACCAGCAGAAACCTCATAGCTTGCCGCAAATACTACCCATTAGGCTTTTGATTTACAAGGTTAACAGAAGCCGAGGGGTACATATTTAAGGTTTTATTTATGCTCATCAAGGTGAAGGATAATAGAGGTGGCAAATGGAAGCTTATTTTCACTTTTTTTTAAACCAGCATCCAGCATGCAAGTTGGGCTTACCATGGCCAGATATAAAATAAAACTGCATCCACACGACCCTCAACAACTTGCCTCACTTACAACTTCGGAACCAGCCCTGTTGAACTTCTGTAAAATTCACATTTCACCCACCAACTATCTTTTTGACCCAGCCAAGTCAGATTTCCAAATTAGCAACAGTTCATGCTGAACTATGGGCAGTTTTGTGCTGTAGGCTAGTGCCTACTAAAAACTGACAGAAACTGCTTCACATGCATTTGACACCCTCAGGAACTGTCAGAATAGAGAATTTCCTCATTGGTTTGTTATATTTCTTTGGTCGCAGACTTGAAAGGGCTTTGTGCTAATTCACAGTGTCATGCAATTCCCCAAAGAGAAACTTTCTAACTCTTTAGTGACAAACACAGTTAAATTTTCCAATGATAAGTCAGTTTATTATTAAATATTAATAGGTTTTCTTCCAGGATCTTATGTACAAAGAGAAGGAAAGCATTGAATTCCTCTTCTGTAGACTAGGATGGAATACATCAAAATCCACTTTGCGAATTCTGTTCAAATATCTGTCCAGAACAACCTAAAAAGAAAGTTCATAAAAGTTACAACAATAATTTGCACTTATCTATTATCCAGCATTTTTTAAATAGAGAATGTGTCAAAGTGCTTAACAGGGAAGACTTGGGAGCCCAAGAAAGGTGCGCAATGGCGATGGAGGAGGTAAGCAGGGGGTGGTCTAAGTCCCAGCTAATCAGGGTTTTAAAAGCCTAGAGGGAGGGAGCAAAGCATTAGGGATTTACGTAGAGTTCTGCAGAATGATAATAATAATATAATAATAAAAGAATGATGCCAAATAGCTGAAAGCTCTTCTACCGATGGGCCATTGATAAACACGTAAACCTATAAAACAACAAAACAACAACAAGATTGCATTTATAGAGCGCCTTTCATGTCGGGAGGACGTCCCAAGGCGCTGGACAATTGGGTCGGGACCCGAGCAGGGGGGAACTGGTCAGGGTGAGAGGAGGGAAGGGAGGGAGCGAGGAGGGGGTAGAGAGTCGAGAGGGGAGCTGAAGGCACGGTTGAAGCATATGAAAAGCATGTTTTTAAAACAATCTTACCGTTTGCAAAAATGCAGGGTGCGCTTTCAAAGGGACATCTTTGCAGAATGACCTTGCCTAAGTAAAATACATCATCAGCAGTTAGTAATTCAGAAGCAGTCTAACAATTAGCAAAAGAACTAAGAATTTTACTTCAGTCTTATTAACCAATTTCTCTTAACCCTAATCATAACCCCATTTTTTCTCTCAAAAGTGTCATTTGTTTCCAAGGCAGAAAAAAAGCTAAAGATGTTTTGCAATGATTTGTAAATGTTTTGCCATTTTAGAAACTGCAGTGCATTAAAATTATTTTCAAGCCCGATTAAACATCAGAGAAATCATTCTTCCATTTTAAATAAAACACATACATGTTGAAGATGAACATGAGCCTGACTCGCTACATCAAATATCACATCCCTGACATTTTTTTCCCGGCTTCCTCGAATAAAGTCTTCCTGTGAAACGCCATGCTGGAAAAGGGGAAAAGCACAGTGAACACATTTCATCAATATCAACTTTGTTGCAGATTCCAAAATCTGAAAACAGGTTTGAGCAGCAATATAGCATTGTTTATAACTATAAATCTCACTCCAACTCAGTTTTCAGCATAATTTGTAACGTTTTGAATCTTAATTCTACTTGTACTACTTGTAATAAAACACATTACAGTTGCCGGGAAACAGTACAAAACCTCGTTTTGTTTCTGTAGCCTCCACAACCTATGGAACCATTCTAAAATTTACAGAATGCTGTACATTTGTAAATCTTCCACCTTTTCACTTAAGGAGCAAACCAGCATGGAGGGGCAATGCATTAAGGTATATCAGGCAACCTGCAATTACTGCACAACAAGGAACTCTCCTAACAGCATGGCTAAATTACAACACATTGTAAATTCTATTCACGCCTGCAGTCAACTTTCAATATTACAAAAAGCAGATCAAAACTGGCTTTTAAAAAAGTCATTATAGCAATTTCTTCTTCTGTTTTCCCAACATATTCTTCATATACTCCAAAAAGACTCCATCCCACAGCTGCTTGGAGGGTGGGAGAAGTTAGGTAAGTTTCCTCATGATCACAATAAAAAGTTGCTTTATGATGTGTTAGCAACTGTGGCATAAATATTGTAAAGGACTAGAGCAGATGCTTGCTGGGGAATATTTATTGAGTTGAACTAACATCACTTCCATTCTACCAATGGGGACTTTACCACACAGTAAGTAATCTATACAACAATTTGCATTTAAATCACAAGATTAGTTAGAATGAAGGTCTTTCAAGCCATCTGATCTCATCACTCAAGAATCCTCAACCTACCATCCTCCTATCAGAGCATCAAGCTGCTTTTAAAATGAGTCCAGTGTCCTGACTTTAACTACTATTCCTTGCAACCTTAGAGACTTATCACATAGGTGAATGACCCAAAGGGCTTTGCACAGGTTGAGTGAAGTCTCATGGCATTAAAAAGTCACCCATAGCAGTGACTAAGGCGTGAATAATTATAACCCAAAAAAGTGATATATTCTTTTAAATACCGATCCTCATCTTCCTTTTCCCATAAGGTGTTCATAAACACAATCACTTTTTTAAAAAAAAAAAAAAAATCTCCTACAAAGACTGAGTGGGTTAAGATAGCCATTAATGCATTGGAGCATACGGGTGGAAAGGTTATAGGTTACAATCTTGACCTGTGCTGAGTTAAGACCATAAGACATAGGACCAGGGGTAGGCCATTCGGCCCCTCAAGCCTGCCCTGCCATTTAATAAGATCATGGCTGATCTTCTAACCTAATTCCATTTACCTGCCCTATCCCCATATCCCTTAATCCCTCTATCCTTTAGAAATCTATCAACCTCAGTCTTGAATATGTTCAAGGACTAAGCATCCACAGCCTTCTGGGGTAGAGAATTCCACAAATTCACTACCCTTTGAGTGAAGAAATGTTTCCTCAACTCAGTTTGAAAAGGCTGACCCTTAACATTGAGACTATGACCCCTGGTTATAGATTCTATAATCAGGGGAAACAGTCTCACAGCATCTACCCTGTCAAGACCCTTAAGAATCTTATAGGCTTCCATAAGATCACACCTAATTCTTCTATATTCTAGAGAATATAGGCCTAGTTTACTCAACCTATCCTCAAAGGTCAATCCCCTCATCCCAGGAACCAACCTAGTGAATCTACGCTGCACCCTCTCTAAGGTAAGTATGTCCTTTCTTAAATAAGGAGACCAAAACTGCACACAATACTCTAGGTGCGATCTCACCAAGGCCCTATACAGTTGCAGCAAGACTTCCCTACTCTTGTACTCTAACCCTTTTACAACAAACACCAACATGCCATTAGCCTTCCTAGTTGCTTGCTGTATCTGCAAACTAACTTTTTGTGACTGGTGTACAAGGACACCCAAATCCCTCTGAATACTAACACTACCTAGTCTCTCCCCCTCTAGAAAATAATCCGCTTTTCTATTTTTACTACCTAGGTGAATAACTTCACACTTCCCCACGTTATACTCCATCGGCTACCTTCTTGACCACTAACCTAGCCTATCTATTTCCCTTTGCATTCTTCGTGTGTCATCTTCACACCTTACTCTCCCACCTATCTTCGTATCGTCTGTGAATTTAGATATGTTAAGTTCTATTTCCTCATCTAAATCATTGATATAGACTGTAAATAATTGAGGCCCAAGCACTGATTTTTGTGGAATTCCACTAGTCACATCCTGCTAATCTGAGAAGGATACGTTTATCACTACTCTCTGTTTTGTTCCTGTTAGCCACTCTCCAATCCATGCTAATATATTACCTTTAATTCCATGCGCTCTTATCTTATGCAACAGCCTTTTAGGTGGCACCTTGTCGAATGCCTTCTGGAAATCCAAATACACCACATCTACTGGTTTCCCCCTATCTAACCTGCTAGTTACATCCTCAAAAAACTCTATAAGATTTGTTAAACATGATTTCCCTTTCGTAAAGCCATGTTGACTTTGCCTAATCATGTTATGATTTTCTAAGTACCTCACAACGACGTCCCTAATTAAGGATTCTAGAATTTTTCCTACCACCGATGTCAGACTAACTGGTCTATAGTTCCCCATTTTATGTCTCCCACCCTTCTTAAATATCGGCGTTACGTTTGCGATCTTCCAATCAATGGGAACCATTCCAGAATCCAGGGAATTTTGGAAGATCAGAAACAAAGCATCCGCAATCTCTGCAGCCACCTCTTTTAAAAACCTAGGATGTAGGCCACCAGGTCCAGGGGATTTATCGGTTTTTAATCCTATCAATTTCTCTAGTACTATTGCTTTACTGATGTTCATTTCTTTAAGTTAACATTAGCCTCCAGGTTCCCCTCTATTTTCGGTAAGTTTTCAGTGTCCTCTAACGTGAAGACAGAAGCAAAATATTTGTTTAATGACTCTGCCATTTTTTTATTCCCCAATATAATTTCTCCCGTCTCTGCCTGCAATGGACCCAGATTCACTTTTGATAGTCTCTTCCTCTTTATGTAGTTGTAAAACTCTTACACTCTGTCTTTATGTTCCTAGCTGGTTTACCCTCATATTCCATTTTCTCCCTCTTAATCAGTTTCTTGGTTTTCCTTTGCTGTTCTCTAAAGCCCTCCCAATCCTCAGGTTTACTGCTCTTTTTGGCAGTATTAACATAGCCAATGGAGTTGGACGAGAATGGGGGAGATGGGGTCACGGAGTTTGGTGCGGGAGAGGACACGGGCTGCAGAGTTCTGGATTATCTGGACCCTGTGGAAGGAGAAGCTGGGAAGTCCGATAAACAGGGCATTTGCACAGTCGAACCTGGAGGTGATAAAGGCAAGAACAAGAGTTGCAGACTTTCTTGTCCAGACACGTTGCAAGTACCTCATACCTGTTGGACAAGGTTAAAGCCTGAGGCTTCTCCATCACTCTCTCTGGGGTCTTCTTACCTGCCTGACTGTCAGGTCACACTGTCCTGTTCCTGACTCGTAGCAAGATCTATATATTTACTGAGCCTCAGGGGAGTGATTGTCTCCTGGATGAAACTATCCAGGAAGCTCTCACCTTCCCTAGAGCTGCGCAATATCTGCACCTCGGATTCCAGCTCAGCTACTCTGAGCTGGATCTTGCTCAGTTGCAGACACTTGCTGCAGGTGTAGTCACCCGGGCTCAGGCTGCCCTCCATCAACTCCCACATACTGCAGTCATCGCACACCATCTGCCCTGCCATTCCCTCCTCTCTCTCTCTCACTCACTCTGTTTATGGTTTTCATTTAAGTTTTTTTAAAACTTTTTTTTCCCGTTTCTGTCTTTTGAGTGTGACGTCACGTTGATGTCACTTGTCGTTTTTCTGCAGAGCCTCCGCTCCACCCACCGAATCAGCGAATGTTTACCTCGGCTGGGCTCTATACACTCCGCTAGGCCTCGGCTCCTCCCCGCGCTGTCCTCGCTCGGCCCTCCAAGTTAGCTGTATATGACCTCAGCACCTATTAGGGATGTGAAATCAACCAGTGGAAGGTGCTAGTATGTGGATGTTGAGTGAGAACAGGATCAGGCTGTGATGCTGTGAATAACCTGCAAACACTCACTGCTAAGGCTCACACTTGAAGCCTGGCCACATGGGGGAATATGGTGTCAGACACCTTCAGGAGGGGGGATAAAATAGGACAAGACAAACAAAATAATCTTAACTTTGGGCAGAGGCTAAAATAAGCAACTTGTATTAGAGAAGCGAGAGTCCATGTTTGAGATCACTTCAAATCAAATGATTGTGTTAGTCTGCCATCTGGTGGTAGAATGAAACTGCACATTAATGCACTGCGTAAGTATTGAGATTGAAGCATTTCAAAACAAATATTCCCTATGTGCACCCTCTGGGCCTGAGTGCTTAAGAATGTGAGGTGACAAACCTAAAATGATTGCTTCAGTGCTTTGCAATGAATATAGAATATTCAATATTTTAACAAACTGTTGTCATACAAAGACACAGGTAATCTGAAAATAGATCTCTGCTAACATTGGTTACAGCAAATGTGTTATTAGGCAATCAATAAGGATTTTACAAATCACAGACTTCTATTTGATCAATCCCACAATTTTAGTAAAAAAAATCTGGTCACAATAAGTGCAATGGCTTCTAGTTTGCGAATGACGTACTTTCAACCCCACTGGGAGGACAATGTACTGAAACATTTGCGCTCAGCACAACATCATAATCTTGTTTGAATAGTTTGTGAATAAAAAGTACACAGACAGTCTTTTCTCGGTTGCTCAGAAGAACTGAGCCAAAAAAACACAGGAGGTTCCCAAGTTCATTCCTGTTTTGTGCAAAGTTGAATACTGGAATTGACGTCAGAGAAGGAAAACAATCCTCAAAGGGTTCCCACTCCCAATTACTGATTAGTGATGTGAACCCCTCCGCCCACCCGCACTGAAAATCAGCATTTGGTGTGATATAAAAAGGGCAGGATTAGGCTAAACTGTGATACATAAAATGACTGCGAAGCATATCTACACTGTCTGGCTCACAAAGGAGGGTATCAACAATAACAACATGATTGCATTTATAGAGCGCCTTTCACGTCGGGAGGACGTCCCAAGCGGCTGGACAGTTGGGTCGGGACCCGAGCAGGGTCAGGGTGAGGGGAGGGAGCGAGGAGGGTGTAGAGAGTCGAGAGGGGAGCTGAAGGCACGGTTGAAGAGAAGGCCGAGCCAATGGCCTCACAAGAGGAGAAAGTTGCTGAGGAAATTTAAAAAAAAAAAAATATTAAGTGCAACAGTGACAATTGACAGTTTAAGTTACCAGCAAGCAAATGTCAACTGGAAGGTAAACTTTTCGCCTGGTGCTGTGATAGGGCGTTGCCCGTAGACATGTGACGATTCCCTGAGCTTTCCCAATGTGGCTGGCTGCATGGTCTGCATGGACATTCTTTACACCTGTCGCCAAAGAGGGGAAAATAAAACCACAAATCAACGATAAAACTAAGTAGTTTTATTAATGAGAGAATTATAGTGTCCAAAGAAGGTCACATATGCAGTTAATTATATTGTACTGAGGGGAAAAAAAGACTGTTAACTTGAGTAAGATCCTCATGGTATAGTGAAGTAAGGAACTAGTGAATTTTATTATACATTTTTATTAAAATAATTCAAAAAAATACACTCCTTATATCTCTGATCATATCATACTTGCCCAGGCATGCAAGCAGTTGACCGACTGCCAAGCTTCCTTTGGCTAGTGTATTAACCAGTGCAGCAGCCTGGTTCAACTCCATTTGATATACCTGCTCCTCCCCAGGACAATATAAATGAGACTCAGTGGCACCTCAAAGTGCACTTTAGAGTCCTTAACATCTTGGCTCCACCACCCTGCACCTGTGTTCTCAGATCAAAGGCACGCAGGGAGCAACCTCACTCCAGAACTGATGAACAAAAACTCTGCTTCTGTGAGGTCTCAATAACTGGAACTGAAAACCCTTGAACACGGTGAGGAGTTTCCACCCATATCATATTCTCAGCTGACAAGAGACATAAATCACTCTTGCAATCCCCATGCTGTATTTTCAGAGGGTCTGTCTTTCAGCTGAGATTTTAAACCAAGGTCTCATCTCGGTGTTCAGATGAAGAAAGGACTTTTCTCCCAGTGACAATCTTCCAGATAACCTGTTAATTCACATCATGCTATTTGTGGGACAATACTGTGTGCAAATTGGCTCCCACGTTCACCTATAAAATATACAGTCACTCCATTTTACTGCAATTATCTGTAAAGCACTTTTAAATGATCCAATGTTATTATATTGATAAATTCATTGAATTGATGGCTGAGGACAATTTATTGCCAGTTTTATTCTATCCATATTTAGTCATTTGGATTCAGGTATATGCTGGTTTTTAATCCTTCCCTGAGAAAAAGGACTGGAAGGGACTTGTTCACAAGTTTTAAAGAAATAATGAAGACGTACCTAATACTTCTAACATGAGGTAGATGAGAGATGATTGAGTGTTCTCTGCATAGGATTCCAACTCCTGAATGTTTCGATATGCCTTGTCATCCAAGTTCTTTTCCTAAAATGTATAACATCCAAGCTTTACAACAATAATAACTTGCATTTATATAGCGCTCTTCATGTAACCTAAGAGCGCTGCACATTGGCGTGGTTGGACACTGAGCAAGGGAGAACCGGGAGGTGATCACAGGCACAGTCAAAGATATACTATAGGTTTTGAAGTGGGATTTAAAGATAGACAAAGAGGGCGGCGACAGAGATGGCGAGGTAGGGAGTTCCAGATTCACAGCAGTAGTGACTGCTGCCTTGGGTCGTCCGCCCAACGTGAAAGTCACTATAAAAATGTAAATTGTTGTTATTGAAGGCTCGGACACCAACGGTGGCACAAACGGAGGGGAGGGGGGTGACAGACAGAGGTCACACAGTGTTAGCTGAACAGAGTAGGCAAGCGGGATTCGGGGATGAGTAGATCAGAGAGACAGGAAGGTCCCAGAATGTGGAGGTATTTGTCTAGAAGGTGAATCCGTTCAGGGAACAAATCATGCCTGGTGAGGATAGGGTGATGGGTGTGCTTTACTTTACAAGGGATTCTACAATGCAGTCACATTAATATCTTTGCCTTTCAGTCCACAGTTCTGGAGCATACTTACTCGGTCATCAATAATTCTCATAAACCATCGCTTTGTCAGCTTGTGTCTCTTTACAGCCTATTAATGACAGAGCAGAAATTTCACAACTAATGAAAATACATTTACATCATAAATGCTTAGTTAGGTTTTACTACTCAAGTATGATTGCACAACAAGATAAAGGAACACATATTCCCAAAACAGTCAGTCTTATGTCTGCAAAGGTACAGTAATGTTAATACACAGCAACTCGCCAAGTAGACCCACAGAATAAACTGCACCTTATATAAATCCTCAAATATTTAACTACAACCACCTCCCCCGAGGGTGCACACACACACATACTCTCATCCTAAAATAATACAATCTGAAGTCTTTTCATCACATCTATACTGTTAAACCATGATTCAAAGTCAACATGATATGGGAGCAGACAATAATGGTCTCAGAGAAACCCCTTGCATCACAGTGCTTTAATGTTAACCCAGTGCTGCTGAACTATGGCCCATGGGCCGGTTCCAGCCCGCGAAGCCGTCAAGAAGTATCCCCTCCAAACATTCGCACTACTCTAGGTAAGTCCGTAGATTTTTCTTTATTGAATTTTTCTTGATTTTTGGCATAAATAAATCAATTATCTGTTAGCCATACACCCGGGAGAACTTCACTATTTTTGAATAGTGCCACAGGATCTTTAATGTCCACTGAACAGGCAAACAGGATCTCAGTTTAACATCTAATCCAAAGAACAGCACCTCCAACAATGCCGCACATCCCCAGCATCGCAATGTAATGTCAGCCTGGACTGTAGGTTCAAAATGCCTGATAGAGGACTTGTACCCACTATCTTCTGACCAAGGGTACCTCTGCTACCAATTACAATGGAAAAAGTGCCATGGGTGCAAGTGTTCTTTATGAAAGGATCCACATCCCTGACCCACAAAATCATTACTCCAAGGCTATCTCAGGATGGAGCAGTTCTAGAGACTCGAGCTACACATAAGGCTCCCTGTGGCATGCGTACCTTAGCCCCAAGGCAGAAGGTGCAAGGAGCTATTTCCACTGCTGATTTAACAAAGAACATTTTTGCAACTCTTGGCTATAAACCAATGTTCCTTTCACCTTAAAGTACCTAAAAGATCATTGTTTAAACCAGAAGATCCCTTTTCTGAAACAAATTAAAACCTCCATATGAAGCAGCAATGTTTTGAGCACCTCTCAAAGCTATTTGGTGCTCTGCTGCTAAAAGGTAGAGCACCAAAAAGCTCAACACTCAAGAGTCAGAAATAGACTAAATGGAGAGTTTTAAGTCAGACTCTGTTCCTGGAAATTGCACTGGAGTCCTCGGCAAGACAGTACTGCAGAAAATTCACAAGATGCATTTTTTTAAAAAAACAATTCACCTTCACAAGCCAACTCCAGTAATGCAAGTTGCATAAGAAGCCTTCTAGCAAATTACTAATTTCCACTACCTTCCATAGCTCCATGGCAACAGGTTGCTGAGGAGGGATATCGCTGTAAATATCTTCAATCACTTTCCTCCAAAACTGCATTCGCATTAGACCTATGGTTTTCTGTGACACAGAATCCTTGACCTTATGAAATAATCAAATTGTAAAATAATTAGGACCACCATAAAGAACAAGATTGTGCTATACAGAGGCACATTTTATTTTAGTCAAAATGACTGAATGAATGCACATAGTATTATGGACCAATCTTGTACTGAGATTCATTTAATTATAGATTAAGAATTAACATTATTATTAATTATTATTCTTAATTAAGAATTCACTTAATACTCTCCAAATTTAGATAAATTAGGGTAGGGTGCATCCCTCTAGGGAGAGAATGCACATTCCATTCCAAACACAAAGAAATTTCCATGTGTATGTGGCATACATATGTGGAACATATGTGGTTTGGAAACTCTTGTGTAATTATGGATTTCTGCACATGTCAAGATACCATGCGGCACAAATCCCTCAACAATTCAGTTATATACCTGGTATTATGTAGTATTTGCTGGTCATGCACTCAAAAAGACGTCCGGCTCCACTGGCACATTTCATGAAGTGAGATCGGCAATGACTGGATAACCAGGAAGTTGCCCATTTCAGTTTCCTGCCCGATGGCCGGGGGTTTTGAGATGCTGATGTCGCAAACACACACATTTTGGATTTTTTGGGGTAAATAAAAGTAGGATCCCATACCCCATTAAGAAGGGGAGGATATCCATTAATATCTGCTTTCATCACAAGGCAGACAGGTCCTAAATTAACAATTCAATCAAAAAGGGACGATGAGTTGGAAAAAACAATTGTATTTATTACAGAACATGGTTATGCAGGCAAATGTGATAGCAAATCAGTGCCAGCAACATCCCGAACTACAGGTGGTCAAAGGACCAACTGGCTTTCATGAAATAGGAATCCATCGCCCTGGAGTATGCAATTCAGATCATACCCTGAGAACAGTGTGTGCCCAGGTGTGATCTAGGAAGAGTAAACTGCAAAGGTATGGGGAAAGGGCAATTAAATGGGACTGAAAGGAAAAGAGCCAGCACAGACACATTGGGCCAAATGGCCTTTTTCTGGGCTGTAAATTTCTATGGTTTCAATGCTCTAATATCCACCTCCCCCAGTGCTGGAATAGTGAAACAGCCCAACAGGGTGGATCTGCATTGCTGATCTCACAACTTCAAATATTAAATTGATACTTTGTGTTTATAAATTTAAAAAAATAGATAATTCATAAGTGCATCCCAGAATTTGGATTTTATGGTTTATCAAGATAAACATGCAGAACACTGCATGTTCACATGCAGTGAACAGTGATGGCAACCAAGTTACCTTTCTTGTATTTATACTAAGGTGACTCTTCAGAATGAATGTTGGACAAATGTTTAGGTTCACATGGCGACTGTTAGAACCATGGCAGATTATTGATCCCCTTGCTGGAGATAGATGTGTTGTGAGGCAAGTTGGATTGACTAATAATAATAATCCTTGCATTTGATATAGCGCTTTTCACGTCAGGAGGATGTCCCAAAGCGCTTCACAGAACACACTGTAAAGTGAATTGACTGTATCTTTGTGGGCGAACGCGGCAGTCAATTGGGCACAGCAATGTCCCACAAACAGTCGTAGATTGAAAATGACCAATTTATTATTGTTTTGGGTTTTGGAGGGATTATTATTAGGCTCTGTGTGGAGTAAGGAAACTTGCCCAAGGTTTCGCCCTGACTGCCTGGAATTGAACTCAGGTCTCTCGCTTGCAAAGCGAGTGCTCTAACCACTGAGCTACAGGACTAAGTTTTACCTCGGAGGTGAAATTTAAACACCACTTTAGGAGGCACTTATTTTTTTTAATCTAGTCTGGATCGAGCATTCACTGACTTTTCTGGTGGCTTCTCAACACTTTGTGAGTTTTACTTGTTGAACTTGAATGTAATCACTAAAAGTAATTGAATCAATTAAAACAATCCCATGGTTGTGTGGACCTTCAAATCTGTCCAGCATCAAATCTGTAGGTTTAAAGCAATTCACGTGCACATTAAGAAGATATGCAATTCTGATTGGATCTAACTAGGCTCCGCTAAAATCTCAGTCATCTAATAGTTTTAACTAAATCCACATTACTCAGAACAAAACTGGTTCCTGATCACTACTTCATTGAATGAGGTTTTCAACAATAGAATAAGAATTCTGCTCTGTATCTAATGACATGGCTAAAAAAAATCTGATTATTGTTTTGAAAGGAACCAACATACTGACACATCCACAATGGAGATATTGGAAATACTTGCCTGAGACAATTCCACATTGAAGGCCCTTATTGCAAAGACAGAACTGCAAGATTCTGAAGGGAACAGCAGGGAGGATAGGAAACCCTCATAGTCTCGGTTTCTATTTGATAGGAAAAACAAGGCCATGAATCAAAATGTTTTAGTCAACTGCAAATACTACCGGAGAACTAAAATCCCACAACGTTTATTTCCATTCGAGCATGGCTCAGTTCATACACTGGATGTGTATTTTGTAGGCAAACATGTTAACCCAATGAGTCGTGTCCCACAAATAGCCATGAAGTGATTGACCAATTTTAACTGGGGGTTATTGGCCAGGACATCAGGAAAAACTCCCTTCTCTTTTTGAGTAGGGCAATGAGATCTTTAATGTCCACCTGAACACGCAAAACAGGATTCTGAATGAAGCATTTATCCAAAGGACCCTCTGGCAATGCAGCTCTCCCCAGCATTGTATTGGCGCGTCAGCATAGACTATGAGTTCAAAGTCCAGACAGGGCTTGAGTACAAGTGAATTAAATTTTAAATCTCTCCACGATCTTGCCCTTCAAGACCTTCCTGTTTGACCGTGCCTTTCGGCACTTCCCTTCCCCCTCTTGGCCCCACTCTCCCCACCCCCGTCTTGGTCACACTCCCCCCGTCTCGGCTCCACTCGCCCCCCTCTTGGCCCCCCCGTTTTCTCCCTAATACCCCGTCTCAGCCCCACTCCCCCGCCCCGTCTCGGCCCCACTCCACACCCCATCTTGGGCTGTGGCGTGCGCCCAGAAGGTACAGTCACTGCTCATTACAGTATAGCTCAGAGATCTCGTAGTGGTCAACCTGATTGATCATAGTTGACCTCTTTTAAGCGCTCCTAAACGCTGCCCTGACTGAAGGGCGTTAGATAAATGCAAGTTGTTGCTGTGGTGTATCCTTTTGTTGTACATAGCGTTTCGCCCACAAAACACACAGTCACAACAACAAAATGACATTTACAGAGCTCCTTTCACGTCAGGAGGACGTCCCGAAGCACTTAACAGTCAGGAGTCGGGGATGGTGGTGGGGGTGAGGGAAGGCAGAGAGGTGGGAGGGCGGCCAAAGGCACGATCGAAGAGAAGGGTCTTGAGACCGGCCTTGAAGGAGCCCAGGGAGGAAGCGACCCTTTACAGTGTACCCTGAGAAGCGCCTTGAGACGCCTCGCAGACGTGATAAGGCGCTACATCAAGTGCAAGGAATTATGATTGCACTGCGAAGCACTTCCGAGAGGCGTGTCTGGGCGACCTGGTTAGCCGCGGGAGCCCGTGCGCGGATGGTGGTGTGCAGTGGCTGACCTGACCTGACCTGACCAGCTGCAGACAGTACTGCTGACGCGCTGCGGCGGTTGCGGTGCTGGTCCCCCTGAGGCTCGTCGCCGCCCTCAGAGCCCTCGGGAGGCGCAGACCGGACACCGGCGCCATATGCCCAGACTCACTGAGCCGGAAGCGCAACCGACAACACGCTCCCCCTCACCCTCCCTCCCTCCTTCCCTCCTCCGCGCGCGCTCACTCCCTCTCTCACTCGTTCCGGGCACTAATCGGAGCCGCTCCTCGCTTGAGCCCAAAAGGCTGTTGGCATCGCTTAATTTGACTCCCAGACACACAGAGGCGGCGGGTCGGCGCGCAGTGGCGCGCGCGCTTTTCCAGCGAAACGGCCGTGAGTCGAGTCGAGCCGCGCGCGCGCGCGCGTGGGTGTGTGTGTGTGCGTTGAAGTTGCTGTTCCGGGTGACCGTTAGTGGGTGTCACGTGCCGGCGCCGCTGCGCGAGGATGGCGGTTGGAGGCGGCCCGCGCTCGCCTCGCGGCGGCCCCGCGCTCCTCCTGGCGCTCAGTCTGATCAGCAGCCACGCGGCGGCCGGAGGGTAAGTGCCCCCACTCCCTCCCCACCGAGTGTCAGCGCGGAGACCGCGAATCTGTTTCCCCCTCACACCTCCCACCCCAACATGTCAGTGCGTGTATCATCCTCACACCTCCCTCCCTCCCCCCACAACATGTGTCACCCTCCTACATCCCACCCTCCTACCCCTCACCCTCCCCGCCCCCCACCCTCCCCCCCACCCTCCCCCCACCCCCCCCCCCCCCCCACCCTCCCCCCCCCCCCCCCCACCCCCACCCTCCCCGCCCCCCACCCTCTACCCCCCACCCTCCCGCCCCCACCCTCCCCCCCCCCACCCTCTACCCCCCACCCCTACCCCCCACCCCTCCCGCCCCCCACCCTCTACCCCTCACCCTCCCCGCCCCCCACCCTCTACCCCCACCCTCCCCACCCTCCCGCCCCCACCCTCTACCTCCCACCCTCCCCACCCCCCACCCCTCCTGATCCCAACCCGCTGCTCCGGTCCTCATCCCTGACCGTGCAGCTACTTGCGAGATGCTGTACAAAATGTAGGTTGTTGTTGTTGTTGTGTCAGTGCGGATCCCTGGTATCTGTTCCCCTTTACGCCTCCCCACTGTGTGTCCGCACAGATCCTGGGCATCTCCTCCCCCTGACACTTGTCTGCACTGTGTGTTGGAGCAGACACCTGACCGAGGACACGGTTTCAGGGCTGTGAGCTGAATAACCGGTTAGCCTCTGGTGGATTGTTTTGCCCGGACATCTTTCTCTCTCGGTGTCGAGGGATCTTTAGTGTAGGGCTGATAGGATTTATGACTTGTTTCGCCCGCAAAATATAGTCAATTCACTTTACAGTATATACCCCCGTTTGACCGCTTTGAGAGGTCTCAAAGGGGTGATAAGGCACTACATCAGATGCAAGGATTATTGTTATTTTTACTGGTTTGTCATCCGGTAATAATAGCCATAATCCTCCTGGGATCCTCCGTGATTGGCTTGCAGAGAGGTAAGCAGCTGTTGCTTAAACTCCACACCTTCAACTGCTGGAACCATCACTCAATGGGAAGGGACGTGTGCCCGGGCTCTGGACAGGCAGATGATGGCAATGCTCTCACGCATTTTATGCTGAGATGTGTTGCCCACCGGGAAGCTCGCTGGGAGTTCCCGGTACCTATCATCGACTTAGTGAGGGCTCAAACCTGTGCTGGTCAGATGTCAAACCACCAACTGTGACTATACTCCTTGGGGGGGAGCTAAGGAGTTGAACAGGCTCCAAGGTAACATGTTTGGCAATGGATTGTCGGAATTGAGCCAACCCTCTCTGGCAGTCTTGGTAGTGCAGTTCCGGAGCCAAGGGGTCCGCAGTATACCAAGGGCACTGTTGATGAAAGCACAGCCAGCCTGGCTCATCAGCAGGACCTAGAAGGGCAGGCCAGTCACTGGGGGTGGGGAATCCTCCCACTTAGTTCCTCTTAACCCTGCAAGCCAACACCCTAACGGATAGGGTGATCCTAGCTGGACAAGTGGCTCTAAAAGTTGTCAGACACGCTACCAATATCAAGCTGTGCGGTTTTAGTGGTTAGACTCCAGCAGTACCTGAACACACACTCTGATTCCTAAGCCTTGGCTTCTGCCAACCTGCGCCTAATACTTTCTGGAATTAGGTAAGCAGGATGCGTCCTTCCAGGGAGAGAGTGCACATTGCATTCCAACAGTTTATCTCTGGAATTTCCATGTATAGGTGGGATGCATTGAATTCTCAGTTTGGATTGGATAATCTTAAGCATAGTGATGAGTTTCTGCATGTGTCAGACACCCGGCTGACCCCTAAAAAAGTAAGGCAAGTTTAGATGTTCCATGAAGATTACAAAAGGGTCCTTAATCCTTTTGTATTGCCACTAGTAGAATGTTATACCAAATTTGAATTACAGGATAATTCACACATTTTATTTAAAATTTCAGATGCCATGAACTTTATTCAATATAATTCTTTCTGTTCAGTTGTCACAAAATTTGCAGTTGGTGTCATCTAACTCATATTATCAATTCAATTTGTGCTTCCATCATTTTTTCTTGTCCAAGTTCATGATTGTGAGGCAATTTGCACACTGAATGATTTTAATTTTATTGCACATGGAGATGAACTTTCTTTTCATCTTATTTGTCCACCAGGGTGCAGCATGGTTCCAGTGATCCATAAATTAGAAGATATGGTTACTTTTGAAACTTTAGAGTTTCTCCCGGTGTGCTTGCCAGCAAACCCCCAAATAAAATAGGTCATTCAGTTGAGGGCTGTTTGTGGAATATTGCTGTGTGCAAACTGGCTGCCGTGTTCGTCCACAAAACACAGTCATTGCACTTAACATTATATCCTGTGAAGCGCTTTGGGATGTATTTCTAATGTGAAAGGCTCCATACCAACATAAGGATTATTAGTAGTAGTATTGTATATATTGGTCATGAATGTTTATTCATGGGTTGTCCAGTTTCAGTGCAGATCAAATTCTCGGCCATGTTGACTTGAGCTGTTATTGTGGAATAGCACTGTGTTAGCTATGTGTGTTAAATGAATCTTGGTTCATGAAATACAGCAAAAGAGTAGCCTTAGTTGTTTCTATATTATAATTCCTATTAGCATTAAATATTTCAGCACTGATTTAAATATTAACCTAGACAAATATTGGTGGCTATAATAGCTTCCCTTGAAACAATTGAAACTAGGCCCCCAATAACTAGTATCATCAGTAATTATTATCGATAGAACTTTAGACCCATTATGTATCAAATAGCTTACACACATTGAAATTAACATACGTTTCATTGCACGTACTGCACTTTAAGACTGTTTTTGACATTTTGTATAATTTTGTGCATTTAATTATCTATGTGCTTTTTTTATAGGACTTCGTTATATGATTTATTGCTTCCTTACCATCCTTCAGAACATGGTTCTCATCATAATCACAGATATGTCAGAGATTGCCAACCTGTAACGTATGGAAATGTGACGCATGAAACTTGGCCTGCTGATAAATCCACGGACCTTCCTATAGTTTCAACTACTGTGTTTGTTTCCAAGTTTCCTACTGATGAAGGAAAACCTAAAGCAGTTTATGGTCATTTTACTGTTGTTAGTAATCCATTGAGAACTGTCTCTGTATTAGAGCCCCTAAAACCAGGAGGATGCAGTCGGTTTTATACAGCAACTGTACAAGAAACAGACAATCTCAAGAAGTGTCTGGTGGCTCAAAATGGTGGATTCTTTCAAATGAACACAGGACGATGCTTGGGTAATATTGTAAGCAATGGAAATCTGGTGCAAAATGGAAAAGGAATACAAAATGCACAGTTTGGGATCAAAAAGGATGGCACATTGGTGTTTGGGTAAGAAACTGAGTAAGTTTTACATATGCTTATTGTATACCTCACAATATTTGGAATATGATGTAGTAAATATGCATAAATCTATTGAACTAAATTTATTGTTTACAAAGACAAAACTGACCTTTTGTATGACCTTCAACAATATGCAACAATTTGTAAAGTAAATGTGGTTATTTGATATTGCGTGTAAGCTGCACCTTCAATCTTTAGTAGCTTGATAAATGAACAGTTTGTTTGTCTTTAAGCTTGAAGGGGAGGGGAAACAGCGATGGAAGAGAGGGAGAAGATAACTGTGTCCACCATCAGGGGACAGAGAGGGCACGATTGGGTGGTCAGCAGCTAGATGGGGAAGGGTGGAGGGAGCAGGTGGTATGTTTCATATTGGTGCTGCGGGTGCAGGTGGATGAAGGAGATATGGGGGCAAAAGTTTACAACGTAGGGCGTAGGGGGGTGGTGGGAGGGAAAAGAGCTGGCGGAAGATGCAACCGGGTAGAATTTGTGGGATTTGCTCACAAGAATTCCATGACGTTCTTGCATTTAGAATTTTATAAACTCACCTGCTGTCTAACCTCTCAAACCCTCACGCCTACACCAACCCCCACCTGACTGTTCAGAGCTTTGGGACGTCCTCCTGACGTGAAATGCGCTCTATAAATGTAATTTTGTTGTTGTTGTTTTAAAGTTCTCTAATTGTGCACAGAGGAAGTATGGCCGTCTTGATTTCACTGTGTGGTGTACATTGCACAGTAAGTAATGTCAAAATGGCCATCTTGAATATGTCATCCTCTTACAATATACTCTACAAATTTATAACTAGACCTCCCATCATACACTGTGTATATAATAATCTTTGCATTTGATATAGCGCTTTTCATCTCTTCTAGATGTCTCAAAGCACTTCACAGAATATATTGTTAAGTTAATTGACTGTTTGTGGGCGAAACGCATCAGCCAATTGCGCACAGCAGTGGCCCAAAAAAGTCGTGGATTGAAGTAGCCAATTTTATTTATTTTTTTCTCTCGTGATTATTATCAGGCGTGTGGAGTAAGAAAACTTGCCCAAGGTTTCGCCCTGCTGGGAATCGAACCCAGGTCTCTCGCTTGTAGGGCGAGTGCTCTAACCACTGAGCTAAAGGACTCCTACGCAGAAGTATATGCAGGAAGTAACAAATTACTTTATTACTATAATTCGAGGATTTATAATTACTATAATTTGAAATTTCTCGAAGACGTGATAAGGCGCTATATCAAATATCAAGGATTATTATTATTCGGAACAAATTGAGTAAAATAGCATTAGGTAGATTGTTAAAAAGTGGCTCCATTGGTAAATTGTGACGTCTATCTTGAAACTGAGCCATACAGACTAGAAAGATACCAGGTTTGATTCCTAATCTCTACTTGAATTAGAAGGTCTCACCTGGGTGATGAGAGGGTGACTAGATCCCTTTGTTGGATTGCAGAAAAATTGGCTGTCACTTCCACACCTGATTACTGTTGAAATTCCATGCTGTAAACTACTGTTTACAAAGCGTCCGGCGTCCGATATATAAATCTGAGTTGTTGTCTGTGGATATTAAATAAATAAATACAGGAATTAGCTCAGTTGTGATAACTTCATGGGCAAACAGATTTTTAACGCTCACTCTCGGGTAAAGAGACATTTTGGCCATTTGATTCAGTCCTCAAAGGAGGTTACTGCACACAGAACTTATCGAAGCACGTGAGCCAGTGCGTTCAGGGATGGGGGAAATGGAAAAGGTGAGGAGCCACTGGTTTCCCCCTCTCCCTTCTCAAATAATCCAACAAAGACTAGTTAAACATTCTTTAAATCAATAAAAATACATTGTTTTTTATATAATTTACTGGACAACTGGCTTATTTGAACAAATTGTACAATTTATATTTAAGATTAATCCCATTATTTATACAAACACACGTGAGTCATTTTATATAAACGGGACACTGCTGCAGAATACTTCATATTAAGACTCTTAATTCTGTTTTTATTTTGCTTTATCCATTTGTTGCTGAGAATATTTGACCTTTCAGTATTGTGATCATTCAGTGTTGAAATAATATGCAAGTGTAAAGTTAAATATTAACCTATAGAATTGGGATTTGGAAAGACTAATGGAACACTTATTTGATTAAGGTTAAGACCTTTTTTAAGAGCAATTAATTGTCTAAAAAATTATTTGAACAATTGTTCAACTCTCCAAAAGAACAGCAGATTGTCCACGTTTAACGTCATCTCAAAATTGCCAAGTTGCCTAGCAACAGGTTGCCATTCAGATTACAAGGACTTGGTCTTGATTTAGACTGTTTTAAGTTACACTCGTGCTTATCTATTATTAACCTTTGTCTGCAAAGAGAAGTTGTTGGTACATTTTGTACTATTGCAGGAAAGTTTTGTAACTCCATAATACCTTTCTGTTCAAACTGAGTCATTATTTTGGACGAGTATCGATGTGTACAGGAGTTTAACTTTAATAGTTAGCACTGCGTTGACTTTGAAGAACTTTTGCTTGTATGTCTCTTTCCTCTCCCTCTTTACCCCACCCCACCCAATTTGCTAAACACCTGTGTACAGCGCTAATGTAATATTCACAATTACAAAGATTTGTATATACCTGCCCAATTTTGCATGTTGCTGGGTAACACTGGATGCACTTAAAGTCCAAACAACTCTTTAATTCTGTACCCTCCTCTAAATTTTGTGTCAATTTTCTCCCGCATTTTGGCAACATTTTCACTGTTTTATCCATTCCATGTATTTTTTCATCTGTATCTACAAATTCAAAGTTCTTGAAATCCATAGTACAGAACTCCAGAAAATAGTCAAGCTTGAGGTTCTTCCATGCACTTTTATGTAGAATCAACTAATGCACATCAGAAACAAATTCAATGAAAGATTGCACTTTAAGGATTATATACTGCTCTTAATATACAATGTGCTGGAAAAAATATGCAAGTACAGCTTGCATACCGTTCCTCTGGCTCCGGTCTGCTCCACATCCCCCGCCCCAACCGCCCTACTATCGGTGGCCGGGCCTTCAGCCTCTCAGCCCCGAGGCTCTGGAACTCTATCCCCCAGTGCCTTCGCCGCCTCCTCCCTTTCCTCCTTCAAGGCCGGTCTCAAGACCTTTCTCTTTGACCGAGCCTTCAGCTCCCCTCTCGACTCTCTACCCCCTCCTCGCTCCCTCCCTTCCCTCCCCTCACCCTGACCATTTCCCCCTTGCTCGGGTCCTGACCCAACTGTACAGCGCCTTGGGACGTCCTCCCGACGTGAAAGGCGCTCAATAAATGGAATCTTGTTGTTGTTGTTGTTGATACCATGAATCTTAAATGTCCTCGGACAACAAAATGTTTTAGTGGAAGCAGAAAGTGTTGGAAAAGGGGGGAAGGAGGGTGATTGAAGGCACGGTTGAAGAGGAGGGTCTTGAGATGGATCTTGAAGGAGCCGAGGGAGGGGGCTAAGCGGAGGGTCTGTGGGATGGAATTCTAAAAGGTGGGGGCAGAATGACTGAAGGTTCGTCCACCAATGGTCGGTCGGGCGAGGAGGGGGACATGAAGTAGGCTGGAGCCCACTGAGCGGACGGAGTGGGCAGGATGGTAGGAGGTCGCAGAATAGGGGGAGCAAGGCAGTGGAGAGCTTTGAAAGTGAGGTCCAGGATCGTGAACTGGACCTCTGTGTGATGGGAAGCCAGTGGAGTCGGGCGAGGATGGGGGTGATGAGATCACAGAGCCTGATATGGAAGAGGATGCAGGCTGCAGAGTTCTGGATGATCTGCAGCCTATGGAGGGAGCAGTTGGGGAGACCGACAAGCAGGGAGTTTGCATAGTCAAGACTGGATGTTATGGATGCATGTATGAGGATTTCGGCGGCCTGCAGTGCGAGATAGTGGCGGATCCGAGCGATGTTGCGGAAGTGGGGTAAGGCAGAGTTGGTCATGGCACGGATGTGGTGTAGAAAAGATAGTTAAGGGTCAAACAAGAGGCCAAGGTTCCGGACTGGCTTAGTAAGGTGGAGTGTGCATCCTTGGATGGTGATGTGGTTAGCGTCTGAGGTGTGGAGACACTGACGGGAGCCAATCAGGAGGGCCTCGGTCTTATTGACATTCAACTGAAGAAAGTTAGCTCTCATCCAGGACTTGATATCCAACAGACATTCTGTCAGGACAGCAGTGGTCCTGGAGTCAAGGGTGGAAGCAGAGAGATAGAGTTGGGTGTCATCCGCATACATGTGGAAATTGACCCTATGTCTGCGGATGATGTCACCAAGAGGTAGCATATAGATATTGAAGAGGAGGGGACCAAGGACAGAGCCCCGAGGAACCCGGTTGTTAGTCAATTGGCGGATCGCTTTTCCGGGGGTAATAATCCCTTCAAGAAAATAATAATAATGAATTGGTCACTTCAATCCACGACTGTTTGTGGGATACTGCTGTGTGCAATTGGCTTTTGTGTTTCGCCCAGAAAATATAGTCAATTCACTTTACAGTATATTCTGTGAAGCGCTTTGAGATGTCTCATAGACGTGATAAAGCGCTATATCAAATGCAACTATAATTATTATAGTTTCCACCACTTGCGGGTTTTCCTCACCTCATGCCTGAGTCAGTTGTAGACTGATCAATAGAGATTGATTGCCATGATTAGTCAACATCTCCATTATTATTGTAGCAAGCGACTACCAGGATGGTAGAAGGCAAATTAGATGGCCCTTAGTCTTTTTTTGGCTAGCAATTTCTATGTTCCTACATTGTTCCTATGAGCTAAGATTCAAATGGAATACCATGAATAGCGATGGAAGGATTCAGAAAATATAGAATTATTTAAGAACATCAGAGTATCCATACACTCATTTTTGTTTGACCTTGCTGCATCATTCCTGCATCATCAACTTGAGGAACCAAATTGGAAGATAAATTGCTGTCAGTGAATTACATAATCTACCAGTAGGTATGAGAATGTACCAAGAGACTACATTCTTTCTT